GTCAATAAATGTGATACATCACATCAACAAAATCAAGGACAAAGACCATATGATTATCTCAATAGATGCTGAAAAAGCATTTGACAAAATTCAACAGCCCTTCATGATGAAGACTGTCAACAAATTAGGTATAGAAGGAAAATATCTCAATACAATAAAAGCCATTTATGACAAGCCCACCACCAGTATCATTCTGAATGGGGAAAAACTGAGGTTCTTTCCCTTAAGAACAAGAACAAGACAAGGATGTCCACTCTCACCACCTCTATTTAACATAGTACTGGAGGTACTAGCCAGAGCAATCAGGTAAGAGAAAGAAATAAAGGCAATCCAGATTGGAAAAGATGAAGTCAAACTTTCTCTATTTGCAGATGACATGATACTATGTATAGAAAAACCTAAACATTCTATCAAAAAAACTCCTAGAGCTGGATAATAACTTCAGTAATGTTGCAGGATACAAAATAAATGCCCCCAAATCAGTAGCATTTATATACTCAAATAATGAATTAACAGAAAGATAAATAAAGAAAGTAAGCCCATTTACAATTGTTACAATAAAAATAAGACACCTAGGGATCAATTTAACCAAGGACGTGAAAGACCTCTACAATGAGAACTACAAACCACTTCTGAAAGAAATTAAAGACACAAAAAGATGGAAAGATATTCCATGCTCTTAGATTGGAAGAATTAACATTGTGAAAATGTCTATACTACACAAAGTGATCTACAGATTCAATGCAATCCCCATCAAAATACCAATGACATTCTTCACAGAAATGGAAAAAAACAATCTTACCTTTCATATGGAAAAACAAAAGACCCCAAATAGTCAAAGCAATCCTGAGCAAGAAAAATAAAGCCAGAGGCATAACTCTACCTGACTTCAAATTATACTACAAAGCTATTGTAACTAAAACAGCATGGTACTGATATACAAATAGACATTGAGACCAGTGGAGTAGAACTGAGAACCCAGAAACCACCCCTCAGGCTTACAGCCATCTGATATTGGACAAAGGCAACAAAAATCTGTATTGGGGAAAAGACTGCCTCTTCAACAAGTGGTGCTGAGAAAACTGGATATCCATAGGCAGAAGAATAAAACTAGATATGCATCTCTCACCATACACTAAAATCAACTCGAAATGGATTAAAGACTTAAGTATAAGACTTGGAACTGTAAAATTATTAAGGGAAAATATAGGTGAAACACTTCAGCAACTAGGTCTGGGCACAGGCTTTATGAACATGAGCCCAAAAGCACAAGCAGCAAGAGAAAAAATAAACAAATGGGACTACATCAAACTGAAAAGCTTCTGCACAGCAAAGGAAACAATCAATAGAGTGAAACAACAACCTACAGAGTGGGAGAAAATTTTTGCTAACTATGCATCCGACAAGGGATTAATATCCAGAATATACATAGAACTCAACCAATTATACAGTAGAAAAAACAAATAACCCAATTAAAAAATGGGAAAAGGAGCTGAAGAGACATTTTTCAAAGGAAGACATACAAATGCCAACAGGTACATGAAAAAATGCTCAACATCACTATTCATCAGGGAAATGCAAATTAAAACTACATTGAGATATCGCCTCACCCCAGTTAGACTGGCTATAATCAAAAAGATGATTAAGAACAAATGCTGGTGAGGGTGTGGAGAGAAGGGAATGCTCCTACTCTGTTGGTGGAACTGTAAAGTGGCACAACCACTGTGGAAAACAGTATGGAGTTTTCTCAAACAACTACAGATAGATCTTCCAAACGATCCAGCAATCCCTCTTCTGGGTATATACCCACAGGAATGGAAATCATCATGTCAAAGGGATACCTGCACTCCCATGTTCATCACAGCTCTGTTCACAATAGCCAAGACCTGGAACCAACCTAAATGTCCATTGATGGATGATTTAAGGAAACTGTGGTATATATACACCATGGAATGCTACTCTGCCATAAAAAGAATGAAATACTCCCATTTGCAACAACATGGATGAACCTGGAGAAACTTATTTTAAGTGAAATAAGTAAAGCACAGAGGGATAAATACCGCATGTGCTCACTCATATGTGGGAGCTAAGAGAGAAAGAATGAAGGAACGAAAGACCACAGTAGTGCCATGGTCTTACAGAGGGAGGGAACAAGCCTAGGGCTACAAATTGGAGTTGAGGGGAGAGGGGGAAGGGGAGGGAGGTTGAGGATAATTGGGTTGGGGACATGGGGTACAAAAGTAATTTCTGGTAATGGGCATGCTGCCAGTATGAATCTGGCCCTCACATCATGGGCATGAGGGGTGACAATTAGTTTTGTATCTCATGAATATTCATAATTTTAAAAAAGACATACAAATGGCCAACATATTTATTAAAAAAATACTCAGCATCACTAATCATTGGGTAAAATGCTAATAAAAACTACAATGGGATATCACCTCACACCTATTATTATCAAAAAGATGAAGATAACAAGTGTTGGTTAGGATGTGAAGAAAAGGAACCCTAACACACTGTTGGTGGGAATATAAATTAATACAGCCATTATAGAAAACTGTTGGAGTTCCTCAAAAAACTAAAAGTAGGATTACCATATGATACAGCAATCCCATTTCTGGGTATATAGCCAACCAAATTAAAATCAATATGTCAAAAGGATATCTGTACTCCTCTGTTTATTGTACCATTGTTCACAATAGCCTAGATATGGAATCAACCTAAGTCTTCATCGACAGATGAACAAATAAATAAATGTGGTATATATACACAATGGAATACTATTCAGCCTTTTAAAAGAAGGAAATTCTGTCATTTGCAACAATGTGGACGAACCTTGAGGTCATTGTGCTAAGTGAAAGAAGCCAGGCACAGAAGGACAGATACTGCGTGATCTCACTTTTATGTGGAATCTTAAAAAGTCAAACTCATAGAAGTGGAACGTAGAGTGAAAGTTACCAGTGCTAGGTGGTGGAGAGGGGGACAGAGTGAATGGAGAGTTGTTGGTCAAAGGGTACAGTTTCAGTTAGACAGGAGAAACAAATTTTGAGATCTATTACACATCAGGGTGACTATAGTCAATAATAATGTATTGTATATCTCAAAATAACTAAGAGAATAAAGCTCAAATGTCTTAACACAAAAAATTGTGAGGTGATGGATATGTTAATTAGCTTCATTTAATCATTCCACTCTATACTATATACATATATCAAAAATCATATTTAACCCCATAAATGTATAAAATTATGATTTGTCAGTTAAACATAATATTAATAAAAAACACTATGGTTTGTGAAATTCCATTTAAAAGAGGAAAAAATTCAAATCTTTATATAGAATGTGAGACACACAATTCTTAAACAACATTACCTGCTTTTATTCATAATGTGAGAAATAGATATAAACCATATTTTCAGTATTTTATTCTAAACTGGATATAAATTTAAATTCTTTTATTTATTAAACAGGTACTTGGTTTAAGGAAGAACGCTGGACAACATGGAAGATGTAACAGGGAATCGCAAGACAGAATCTCTGTTCTTAAAAAGGTTACACAGCTTTACGCAAGAGACAGTGGCTGTGTACATGACAATATTGAGGCAGTGTGTGTAAAACGATCCTTTAGGGAACCAAGGTGCTTGGACATTCAGATGAGAAATAAAACTTTTAGCAGAGGAGACCAGGGAAGCTACATTCAGAGAGGATGGGGTTGAAACTCAACTAGCAGTGAAGGGTGACCTGAACGTCCCTGAGAAGAAAAAGGCCTGCGCAACAGCAGAGACAGAGGAAAGCACTAGAAATCCTAAGACCAGATTAGCTGTAACCTGAATAACATTTAGGTGACTAACTGGAGATTGATTAGGAAGAGAACTTTAGCTCAGACTGTGGAGGCCTTGAACAGCAAGTGAAAGAATTCAGATTTCATCGATCGGCAGTGGAGAACCGGGAAGCTTTTTGAACTGAGAAGTGTGGTTATCAAAGCTGTACTTGAAGGAAGTTAGTGCAGTGTTGGTCAACAATGGCCAGCGGAGGGGAGAGACCAGAGACAGAGAGCCCTGACAGGAGGATTATTACACTGGTCCAGATGGAATAGTGGGAAGAGAAAGGATGGGATGGGCACTGCAAGAGTAAAGCAAACGGTCCTTGAAGACTGGAAGTGGGAAGCAAGGGACAGGGATGATTCAGTGATGACTCAGACTTTGAGCTTGGGTGACTGAGGACTCAGAAGTCAAGAGAATAGTCTGAGCTGAGAGGAAAAGATGAGGAAATCAGTTTGAAGTCACGTCCAAGTGGGGTTGTCCAGAGGAGCTAGTTCAGAATTAATAAACTATAAATTTAATAGATTAATAGATAGGTATGTTTAATAGATAATATATTTTAGAGAAATCTACATTCAAGGTAAAAGCTGAAGCTATTTAAATAGACTCATCAATCATGACATAGATGTCTAATATGGATAAATAATTAAAACATTTGTTTTTGTCCAAAACTGCCCATAGTAATTGTATCCTGTACCACTGTACCATCGTAAGACACAACACTGGATCATGACAAAATACATGAGAATACAAAAGTGGTCTGGGAAAGGAAGTCTGCATACAGAAACTAATATAACCACAATGAGTTATGGCATTTTACACATTCACTCCTTGGAACAAATTTTCATCACTGAAATTTAGAAGTTAAAATACTAAGCAATTTTATTCAGTTTATTTATCTTCATTCAAACTGATTTCTCTTTTCCTCTGAAGTCAACATTGTTTTCTGGAGGACTGAATTAATTACCATCAAGAATAATATATTTCATAAGAGAATTAATCTCAATCTTGATCTCATAAGAACACTGATAGATGTGTTCTTATGTTTGCATGCTCTTATTGACACCATCTGTGACTTAGAAATATACCTTCTTTTACTACTCTATTTTAAATCGTAGTATCTTTATATTGAGATCTTCTATGAATTATTCACCAAAACACACGTTATCCAAGACTCACCTGTTTTTAGTTTTTCTGGAGGGCTGAGATTCAGATGTTGGTCTTCTGATGAAAAGCTCACATTGATACCATACAGTGGATCATCCAAGAAAGAGGGCCTTTTCAGTCTCCCAATGCCATGAGTCTTCGACATAAAATAGTCTTTGGTGTCACTGATAACCTCGTCCTTAGAAAACTGAAGGCATTTTATATTTTCTGCTTCAATGACAAGAGCTTCTGACATGTAAAGCCCAGTCAAGGCTTTAGTGAGATAATAGTCTTTAGGTGCTTCACATTCTGCATTCTCAAGCACCTTAATTTTCTGAACCTTTGCTTCTGACTCATTTAGTAATTCAGAAAGGATAGATCTTGAAAGCTGGGAAAACTCAGTTGTTATATCCTCAATGTCTTTGTTTTCTCTTTCTGGAGAAAGTCTAATGATGGCTTCTTGTTTGAGTGTGCATCCATCCAGAAGACACTTTAACTGTTCCTCAGAGAGAAGTGATGTGGAATCTAACTGACGAAACAGACCAAAAGTTTCATGGTCAATTGACTGAATAAACACATTTATTTTTGGTAAGCTTCCAGTAATACAATATAAATGCAAGTGATAGGAAACCCCTTACACACAGCACAGGCAAATAAAAAAAATAATTCATTTTAAAGTATCCACTAGTGCAGGGGAACTATGCAGCAGCCCTACAGAATAAGTTTAGAATTAATCATGCTGACTATAATCCAGGGGCAAATCCTAAAATACTGCACCAAATTAACCACTAACATAGAAGTATCTAGAGCTGAAATGGAGATATTAGAAAAACACCTTCAATTTTCTTGAGTCATCAAGCAGGGAAGTAGGCAACCAGCTGTTTGATAAACAGCCAGAAATCCTGCCCTAATCTCTAGTAGGTGTGCCTCTGTCCTCATCACTCCTGTGTGAACCCCCACCACCACCCATTGTGGAAAAAATAAATAAAACTCAGGAAAACAGGGCAGACTACCCCTGCCCCTGGGGATTCACCCTCCCGACGTCTGTCCACAACTTTCAGCAGACAATACTGCTGAAGACAGAAAAGGAAAGGTGAAGGGGTGGTGCATCCTGAAATGTGTAGTTACTACAGGTCTAGGCAGAAGCCAGGGGCATTCCAGGAGCAGCGCATTTGGGGAGAAAAATTTGATCATACATATTTAATCGCTGCTTGTAAAGTTGACTAGGCATGGGTGTTTCAACCAAGATCTTAAGGATTTAAAAACATTTTTTTTCTTCAGTGATATTCTCAGGAAATAAATAAAAATAAATCAATCAGAAGTATAAAGCCATGTTCTACAAAAGTTCAACTGAACATCATGCTACTTGAGTTGCAACAATCTCAGAAAAAAAGTGATTAAAGTAAATTGAAACAAACTGAAAAAATCTCTTCTCCAAAGAACCAGCATCTTCTTTGATTTATATGGTGGATTATATGGAAAATACTAATCCTTTTTTATGGAGGATTAAATTATCTAAGAACAAGAAGTCCCCACAAGAAAATTTAACCACAAACTGCAATGGTCTTAATTTCTACTTCAAAAAAAGAAATGTTATCAGTCTACTTTGAAAGCACACAGTAAGAAATAACTTAATATTCTGTATGTGTAAAGTACCAGGGGGAAAAGCTGCTACTGGAACTAGTACAGTTAACATCCCATTATTATGTAATGATGCTTCTAATGCAGCTAACAAAAAAAATAGTATGTAAAACAAGTTTTATATCATGCTTTTTAAATATATCATGTGTTTTAAAATTATATTTAACTTACCTATACTAAGACTAGTTTTCATAGTGGCCACTATGAATTTGAGAATAATAAGAAATTATCTGAGAATATATTCTTAGTAATTATCTGGAATTCAAAATTCAGATAATTCACCCTAAGGTTAACAATAATATACATATCAAGAAATGAATTGAATTATATATAAGAAAATCCTACTAAAAAAATTTATTGTATATATTTATGAGGTACAATGTGATTATTTGGGCACATGTATATAGTATGCAATGATCGTATCAGGATAATTAGCAAATCCTACTTTTAATCACTAGGCATTTCAGGCATCTAGATGTGGTACTTTATCCATTTTAAGGATCATTCCCTTCATCCCATTATGTAAAACCAGTCAACTAGAAAAGTATGGCATTAGGTACTTAAAATATACTTTCAAAATGTGTTTATGTAAAATTGCTTATAATTAGCAGACAATTCCCTAGGATTTAGAAAAATCCCACTAAATGTCACCCTCACCAAGCATTCTCACCAAAGGCTTATCATTATGAAATTTCCAGACGCTAGAAAAAATCAGTCCATACTGGAGCAGGAGGATAAAGTATTATGGAATGGAGGCTTCTAGGTAATAAGGGGAAGGGAAGTAGATTATGTGATATGTTTGACCACTTCCAAAAATAATATTGATAGGATAGATGCTTGGCATTTCTAATGATGTATTTGGCTAGATACATAGAAAATGAAGCAAAAGGAAAAGCAAAGCAATTATAAACTCTGGGAAAAACAAAAAGTTATAAAAGAAAGGACAGCATAGGATAGTACTTGCTTCTGTTGTGAGTAATATTTAGACATTTACCATAATGTAAATACTGATGACTGAAGTAACCAAAAATTGTGATTTAACTATTTTGGGGAAATAAGAGGAAAGAGTAGGGGTGCTTGGAGTAGCAAAATTAAATCCCTAGTTACCATTACAGGAACTCTCTATATAATATCTAAAATTAATCAACTAAAAGCAAGTTAGTAAGAAACAATATAGAGGTAAACATTGGGGAAAACAGCTAAAGGAATTAAAAGTGGTTGACTCTGGAGAGCAAACCAAGAAGTGAGGAAGGCAAAGGCAAAGGTGTTGCCATTTTTGTTTAAAACATTTTAACACAACTTTTCCTTTAACTATTTTTTTACTATAATAAAACTTAAAATTAACTTTTAAAATATAAAACAAAAAGTAATTTATTTTTGCTTTTTATTTCAATTGTATTTTAATAAACTTTAATTTTAGAACAGTTGTAGATTTCCATAAAAACTGCAAAGATAGTACAGAGAGTTCCCATACTTGTATATTCCACACCTATTTCCCCCGTTATTAACATCTTACATTAATGTGATACATTTGTTACAACTAATGAACCAGTATTGATAAATTTATTAGTAACTAAAGTCTATAATTTATTCAGATTTCCTGGGGTTTTTTATTTTATTTTATTTTTATTTTATTTTATTTTACTTCTCAAAATACATTGTACTTGATTTTCACACCACTTTACCTGTTCCTCTCCAACCCCTCCCCTCCCCCCACCACATCATATCTGTGCGCTTGGCTTAAATAGTTCAAGAAATTTTTGTGGTTATTCTGTCTTCTTTCCCCCACCCTTTTATTTGTTTGTGTGTTTATTTATTTATTAATTTTTAGCTCCCACAAATAAGCGAGAACATGTGGTACTTCTCTTTCTGTGCCTGACCTGTTTCACTTAATATAATTTTCTCTAAGTCCATCCATGTTGTTGCAAATGGTAGTATTTCATTCTTTTTTATAGCAGAGTAGTATTCCATTGTGTAGATGTATCACAGTTTCCTTATCCGCTCATCTGATGATGGACATTTTGGCTGGTTCCAGCTCTTGGCTATTGTATATAGAGCTGCAATAAACATTTGGAGTACAAGTATCCCTTCAGCATGATGATTTCCATTTTTCTGGGTATATTCCCAGCAGTGGGATCGAAGTAATTTAAATGTATGCAAATTTTAAAATAAAAAATTTTAAATAAAAAATAAAAATTTGAATGGTGCGGTCCACGCCATGGTGGAGTCCTGAAAGGAATAGCTTGGGCTGCCCTCTCCGAGTTGGCAAGGCCACCGGAGGGAGAGCTGCTGGCAGGACCGTGGCTACGAGCAGTTGCTTTCACTGGTAGATACTAACCACAGCTTGCTAACAGAAAAAGGTCACAAGATAACTTCAAGACAATGAAGGGGTGGTTTCGATCTGACAACCTGATTCCAGGAAAAAGAAGCATGAGTTGATCACCTGAGACATGCTGACAAAAGAAAAGGACTGGCTGACCTCTAAAAAAGTTTCTTCCCTGCTTTTTGGACTATTGATTTAAGCTTGCTGATACAATAAAAATAGTACCCAAAACCCCCCTGCAGAGAAAAATCTAAATAAAAGGCATTGTCTCATGCTCTACTGGGCTCCAGCTGCAACACACTGACAGCCCGCAGAGAGAGAACATGCATATTGATGCATTGAGGTCTCTGTCTGTGTTTGTTATTTTCGCTAACCCTCTCCATCCCTTTTCGGGTACCCACCCTTTGCTGAAGCTGGACTTTGGCGTTTGAAATATGTAAATGAAACTCCCAACTGATTTTATCTTCAGACATGAGAAGCCGATCCAACTTTCATGGAGCCAGAAACTTAGAAAGTCAGGGGAGGGCACTTTTTTTAAAAAAAGAATACAAAATTACAAATTTATAAAATTATGTACAGTGCTGGCCAGTTAGTTCAGCTCATGGTACTAATAACACCAAAGCCCAGGGTTGATTCCTGTACTGGCCAGCCACAAAAAAAAAAAAAAAAAATACGTACAGGTTAGTTTCTTGATTTTTATAATGTGAAAAAGATAGCAACAAATTACTGGAGTCTTGGAGAGTCAAGTCCATCTCTTACAGTATCTCTTTAGGTCATTAACCTGAAATGCTTATAGAAATGTTTGCTGATTGCAATTGGGCTTCCTCTCCCCACTCCAAACCTCCTACAAGTAAGTCACCCTGAAGCTGAAGCTTCACTGTGTCCATGGTAAAAATGAGAAATAACATAACACATTTCAGCCTGTATGTACACAGAAGTAAACTGAACTACAATTACCCTGATCCTCTTGGAGGAAGCAGGCTGATAGGAAAGAAAACACAGAACCTGGGCTTCTGTCCAAGCTTTACCATCTTGAACATGTCACCTAAGTTCTCAAGGTCTCATCTCCTTCATCTGTGAAATGAGAAATTGAAGAAGACGATCTCTAAATTAACTTTGAGCTCTAAAATTGCTTTTTATGAACAAGTACGCTAAAAATACAAATAAATAAAAAGAATAAAGTTTTCTATTGACATTAGAGTGTAGCCTGGGCAGAATTATAAAAAATAAAACAATAACAAAAAGAGAACTTTTATTTCTTTCACTTCTTCACAATACCAATCCTCTTACAAAAATAACTAAAAATTTTCTGGTCTCAAAACAGTATAAGTCAGAGTGAATCAAATACATTAAGCCCTCAAATTAAACTAATTTAATTATATAGTGTTTCTGGGTGGCAATACAAATCAGAAACTTCAACACTGGAACTTGGCAGAGCCTTACCCACAATAAAACTCAGTAAATGACTATTGTGAGAATCAAATGAGTTAAGGATTCTTTAAGTGTTTTGTAAAGTACTATGTTAATATAAGTTACTTACAAATGATGAACTGGACTAAATTAGG